TTCTCCAAAATAGACCACATACTTGCTCATAGAACATATTTAAGTAAGTAGAAAGGAATTGAAGTTGTCCCCTGTATATTATCAGACCATAGTGTGATGAAATTGGAGATCCATAGCAAAAGAAACCGCAAGAATTTCATAAACACATGGAAATTGAATAACACACTTCTGAATAACCAACGGGTCACAGAGGAAATTAAAGAAGAAATCAGAGAGTTGCTTCAATTAAATGACAATGCCAATACAACATATTGGAATCTATGGGACACAATGAAAGCAGTCTTACGAGGCAAATTCATGGCACTGAATACTCATATTAGGAAAACAGAGCTAGCCCAATTAAACAACCTGATGCTGAACCTCAAGCTTCTAGAAAAAGAAGAGCAGGACAAACCCAAAGCTCATACAACAGAAAAAAAATATAAAGATCAGAGCAGAAATCAATGCAATGGAGACTAAGAGAATCATACAAAAAATCAATGAAGCCAAGAGTTGATTCTTCCAAAGAATAAACAAAATTGACAAACCCTTAGCCAACCTAATCAGAAAAAGGAAAGAAAAGGCCCAAATCCATGCAATTAGGAATGAAAAGGATGAAATTATAATGGACCCAGCAGAAATCCAGAGGATCATCAAAACCTATACATCAATACCTATACATCAATAAAATGGAAAACACAGAAGAAACGGACATATTCCTAGATAAGTATGAATTACCAAATTTGAACCAAGAAGACCTAAAAAATTCTAAACAACCCAATATCAATCAATGAAATTGAAAACATAATTAAAAACTTACCAACTAAGGAAAGCCTGGGTCCTGATGGTATCACTGCTGAATTCTATAAGACATTTAGAGAGGAACTACTCTTCAAACTGTCCAGTGATGGGCTGGGGGTTTAGCTCAGTGGTTCCGCCGCCTGCCTTGCAAGCACAAGGACCTGAGTTTGATCCCTGGTACCAAAAACAAAAAACAAAACTAAACTCTTCAGCGAAATTGAAAGGGAAACAATACTCCCAAATTCATTCCTGGAAGCCAGCATCACCTTGATCCCCAAAGCAGAGAAAGACCCAACTGAAAAAGAGAACTATAGGCCAATCTCACTAATGAACATAGATGCAAAAATCCTTAATAAGATA